AAAATTGATGTTGAAGGAGTTTAGTTTTTAACCATATTTTAACATAATTAAGTCTGAATAAACCAACTGTTTGAGTGTCAGACTGAGAATGAGCGCTAATGAGTAACAGAGACACAAATGCACTGTTATCTGCACTGCAGGAGTGAAGCTGAGGAGCGATCGGGCCCCTTACACTAACACTACGCTCAGGGCCGCAGCTGGGGAGTGTGGGGCCCCTGTTTGAAATGCTTTCATTTGTATGTTCGTTCCATTTATTTATTTGTGCTATTTACACAATGTTTAAGTTTGTTCAAGTTTGCAGGTGTCCCGGTACAGAAACAGATTAATCAAATGTAAAATAGCACTGCATAGTCTTCACTGTAAAAATTACATATACAGTCAAAACAACATTTATTCAGACACCTTCAACATTTCTCACATTATCACAGTTTATTTGCTATAGTTTAGAAAATGGTAATAAAATATGAGAAGAACTCAGAGTTAAACTGTGTCAGAACAAATTAATCTTGATAATGTCAGATAACTTTAATGGATTACAATCAACCAAAAATTCAGACAACTGTTAGTATGACAATATTTACACAACTATCAATGCTTTGTTGAACAATTACCAAGCAATGCTTAACTTTGTTCAGTCTGTGGTGTAAAAAGTTCACATTAGCAATTGAAGAAAAACACTTAAGCAAAACACGCTCAGCTCAAAGTGTCTGAATAATGTTTGGTCCCAATTTATTTATTTTTATCAGTTTTACTGGTAATCCACTGTATGAAGAATGTTTGGATATAGTATGTCACAGTTCACTTTATTTTGCTCTCCTCACTGACATAAATGAACTATAGGCCTAGTGTCCTGCACCCACTAGTAAAAACATATCAAAAATTATATCTGGTGTCTGAATAATTGTTGGTTTGACTGTGGATTAATTCTTGTTAAAACTACAAAGTAATTCAGTCTTCAGTGATTTTCTTTCTTTCATTTTCTTGGATTAACATTACAGCAGCTAGTAAATTAGGCGCAGTCACTTTAAGAGACTTATTTATTTCGATTTATTTCTCCACTGTTTACTTTCACTTAAGACATAACCGACAGTTTTTTCGAGGATACTCTCCAAGACGGGTATTTTGACATAATTTTGTAAGTATTTGTCGGTACAAGAGCGAGAAGAGGCACATTCGGTGTGCAAGCGCTTTGAGACGCGTCTCTCTGCGTGCGCCCTGTGGGAGCTGTATTGGGCTCTTTCACATCTTTTTCTGTTTGCATGTTTAAACTGTGATTTGTATTTGTTCGTTCAGGTGCAGGAGGACACGAAGGAGAACTCGGTTCGGTGTTCCTGTAGTGAGACGCGGCTCTCTGCGTGCGCACCGAACACAGCGCGAGCACTCCGTTGAGTTTGAATGCTTTAAACTCTTTTGAGTGTTTAAATTGGCAAGGCTTAAAAACACGTGCAAATGATAAGCTTTAGTGACGATGTGCAGCAGTGGCCCGTCAACTGTCCTGAGCGTCTTTTCAGGCTCGCCGAGTAACTAGCTAAACTCGATCTAAAACTATTTTAAACAGATTTTAAACTCACAGATTTTAGACTCCACATTAAATAGTTATATTTTTCATTTGTTTTGCCTACAAAACCACCACTGGTTCTGCACCCATTTACCTAAATTCATTACTTCAGAGTTATGTGCCTCTAGAAGCTTGCGTTCTGCAAGTGAACGGCGTATTATTGTGCCATCTCAAAGAGGCACAAAATCACTTTCACAGACTTTTTCATTAACTGTTCCCTCCTGGTGGAATGACCTGCCCAAATCAATCCGAGCAGCTGAGTCCTTAACCATCTTCAAGAAACGACTAAAAACACATCTGTTCCACCTTTATTTGACCCTCTAACTCTAACACTTTCTATTCTATTTTAATTCTACTTTATCTATATTTATCTTTTTAAATTTTTTATTCTTTATTTAAAAAAAAACAAAAAACAAACACTAGCTTTCTATTTTTTTCTATTCTATCTACTTGTTCTTCTTTGTTTGTGTGTGTGTGTATAATATATATATATATATATATACACCTTGCTACGTGTACTGCGTTAGGCTAACCGAGACTTGTCATTTGCACTTATATATTGTTGCTGTTTTGTTAGTTTTGACTGCTTTTATTGTCATTTGTAAGTCGCTTTGGATAAAAGCGTCTGCTAAATGACTAAATGTAAATGTAAAATCTTGATGTTGACAAATAAAAGGGTCCTGGACCCATTTTTCATCCATTCTGGAGAACAATGAACAAAAGCATCACCTGCAACACACATTCATCACACAAACATCATTAGCGAATCATTAACACACACACACACACACACATATAGACTACTCACAGACAGATCTAGTTAGTTTATATATATATGAGTTAAGTTACTTGAGAAAGTCAACAGACTTCACCGTACGTCACACACTTGACTGGGACTAAAATCTGGGCAAAAGTTGTGTCGTGTATTCATTCCTGTCTTTAATGTGTTATATATTTTCTAACTGATCACACTTACGGTTTTCTGAAAACATAAATCACATTTCTCACTGCAGCGACAGACGTGTTCGTCAGGTTCACTCAGATCATTATGTCGAATGACGTTTTGTAATTTGCATCTACTCAGAATGCATCCATCTTGCAACCTCATAGCAACCATCCAGAATACCCTAGCAACCACCTAGTGCACATTAGCAACCACATAGCAACAACCTGACAACCACTCAGAATAACCTAGCAACCACCTAGTACACATTAGCAACCACATAGCGACAAGCTGACAACCACTCAGAATACCCTAGCAACCACATAGCAACAACCTGACAACCACTCAGAATACCCTAGCAACCACATAGCAACAACCTGACAACCACTCAGAATACCCTAGCAACCACATAGCAACAACCTGACAACCACTCAGAATACCCTAGCAACCACATAGCAACAACCTGACAACCACTCAGAATAGCCTAGCAACCACATAGCAACAACCTGACAACCACTCAGAATATCCTAATAGCAACAACCTGACAACCACTCAGAACACCCTAGCAACCACATAGCAACAACCTGACAACCACTCAGAATACCCTAATAGCATCAACCTGACAACCACTCAGAACACCCTAGCAACCACATAGCAACATCCTGACAACCACTCAGAATACCCTAGCAACCACATAGCAACATCCTGACAACCACTCAGAATACCCTAGTAACCACATAGCAACAACCTGACAACCACTCAGAATACCCTAGTAACCACATAGCAACATCCTGACAACCACTCAGAACACCCTAGTAACCACATAGCAACATCCTGACAACCACTCAGAATACCCTAGCAACCACATAGCAACAACCTGACAACCACTCAGAATACCCTAGCAACCACATAACAACAACCTGACAACCACTCAGAATACCCTAGCAACCACATAACAATAACCACCTGAAAACCACTCATAATACCCTAATAGCAACAACCTGACAACCACTCAGAATACCCTAGCAACCACATAGCAACATGTCAAACTCTTAGCAACCATGCAGAACACCTTCTTCTGTCTGATAGACTGCATGGCTTTCTCAAACCAACATCAAAGTTAGTCTGGACGACCTTCTTTATCTAGTTAACATCGCTGTGGCTGTGCTTCTAATATAACAGCGGAGTTCGTCACAGTTTAGGATGATTTTATGACCACTTTAGAAATCCCTGGAACAGTAAAAAGGGTCCAGTGAGAATATTAATAAGTCATGTAGGTATAATATGCATTACATACTTGTGATTCATTTACATGGAGGAATCATTGATATGTCTCACCTGCTTACAGGTACATTTGAATAAGGAGCCTTCATAACCCTAATGAAGAGAATCAAAAATGAAACGCAGTTCATGTTGACAGTAATTTAATTTCAGTAATGTAAGGAAAACACATTTAAATGTCTGTCTCTCACGGATTCAGATCCAACACACATGAGCTTCTCCACGCACCTGAAAAGGCCTGAATACCAGGTAAAGCTCTCTGGGTTTGAGTCCTGCCCTGCAGAAAAACCAGAAACAGGTGCAGCTGATGCCGAAACATCTCTGAACGAGCTTATTCTACATCACCAGCACACAACGCTTCAGAGTTTTCACTTTCTGCAGATTAGTGTCCCTCGTGTCAGAATGCAGAAACTCATCTGATCTGATCACTCACACACAGTACTGAAGCGTGTCGTTAAAATCAGCATCCATTAATTAGCTACCAACATGGAGTTGATGATTTTCATTAGTCTTAAGTAAATAGTAACTCACCTCTTCCTCCGAGCTGCTGGTATTGTTCATTCTGGGGCAGAAATATGAAATTAAACTCCTGCGCTCGAGCACGTCTCTGTTCTTGATTTACAGGAAAACTCATTTTCATTTTCATTGAAACGTTTGACATTAAAAACTAACACTTTATTCTGATATTCCACTTTAGCCATTCAACTACCTATAAATAACTTTACAACTAGGTGTCAACTAGTCGTGCAAATGCTCGGAGAGTTAGCTGGCATGTAGTTAGTAGAAGGTCTAAAGTGGAACATCGAAATAAAGTGCAACCCATTAAAATGTTAAACTCTTTTCATCTCGTCTAACAAATGGTGAGTGATACATTTATAAAATGCTGCTTGTGATGTGAATTAGAAGTTTCCCACAAACATTTAAAATATTTCTCTAACAGGAAAAAAAACACCCATAATGTTTAAAGTGTACAGAAATCATGCAGAGTAAGTGTCGATTCACATCAGAAGTTCAATTCAAAGCACGATGCACAGGCCATCTGTCTCAAGTTTAACCTGCCCTTTATTGCCCACAGACTCGCTGTTTGCTATTTATACACACTGTCATATTCAATCAAATGAGAACCTGTTTTCTATATAATCAGCGATCATCAGAACTATAATGTTCAAAACAACAACCTTTAAACTGCTGAATAAATATGTGCCACAATAATAACATTTCATTAACTCGCTTCTTTGGCGCCACCATGTGGAGAAGAAATGAAAGAACACAAGAAACAGAGAGTGAGACACCAGCTACATGTGAAAGAGGATTTAATGTGTCATCAATAACTTACAGCACAACCTACAACACAATAATACAGAAGCATCGCATGCAGCGACCGAAGGAAACAGATCTGTGCTCATGATCTCGTTACATCGGAGATCCTCGGCTGCGCTGCTTTCAGCTTCTCGCCGGAGTGGAGCTTGCTTTCACGGTCTTCTTCAGATGATGGTAATTGGGCAGGATCTTCATCAGGAAGTCCAGCTGCAGCGTTTGAGGCTAGAGAGGACAGAGACGGTCAGAATAGCAGCAGGTTTCTCAGGTGTATCAGAAACACACGGTGTGTGTGTGTGTGTGTGTGTGTGTGTGTTACCTGCGGTCTCTCGGTCTGCACGCGTCTCAAACACTCGGAGCCATAGATCACAGTGTTTTCTGGAATCACTTCACAGGTGTTCACCGCACAACACGCTCCCACAATGCACCCGCTGGTCAAAATCACGTTCCTCCCGACCTCAGCTGAACACACACACATCACACACATCAGCGGCGCTTTACCTGCGCTACTCCATCCTTTCAGACGCCGCGCTCTCACCTTTGGATTCAATCACGTTGTTGTCCCCGATTTTCAAGGCCTGAGACACTGAAAACAAATTCAAGTTACATTAGTTGAGAGAAGCTTCATGTTGAGCCGAAGGTCTGCTGAAATGAAGACGTACCGCAGCCGACTTCAAAGACGTTATTGATCCCGATGCTCATGGTTTTAGGTTCGACATCCTCGGCGTCTGGAAGCATGTTTTCAGGATAGCTGCACACAAACGCCACGAGATTTCACACGCATGATGTTTCTGTCATTATATATTCACCCTCACGCCGTCCCAAACCCATAACTTATATGAGAATAAAATCTGCTCATAATAATAAATTAAAGGGGTCATGAACTAAGAAATCAAATTTCCCTTGATCTTTTGACATTTAACTGGTCAAGGTATTATAAAAACATCCTGCAAGTTTCAAAACTCAAAACTTTCTCGTTAGTCTAAAAACAGCTTTAATTGAAACCAAGCTCAGAAAACGGCTTATTTTGGAATGTGCACTTTATGATGTAATAGTGTGACTAAACGCCACCTCTTTAGCCCCGCCCACTGATTCCACATTAGCCCCACCCACCGATACGCACCTGTAGTAGAGGAGAGATGCAAACACAGGATTACTCCAGCAACAGAACCATTACAAGATCACAAAACACTGTAGTGTAAGCTCTGAAAAATAGGGCCCTATCAAGCACCCGGCGCAAGTGTTTTTTCTAGTTTCAGCCCGACGCAGTAATCATGTTCACGTCCTGCGCCACGTTGTTTAAACAGCAAATGCATTTGTGCTGATTTGTGCGCTCATGGGCGTGCTGCTCTGAAAACCAGGTGTGCTATTTTGAGGCAACTGAAACCTGGTCTAAAGTCAATGGTGCAATATTTTCTTTGTTAATTAAAGAGCGCGTTAGTAATATGAGCCTACACTCTGCTTATCACACACACAAACATGCCAGATACTAAAAATGAAAGAGATTATTATTGTGCCCCGTAGATGGAAGCTTTCCTCTCTGGAGAAGCGTTCAGTCTAATTCTGCCGTGTAAACAGCGAATCCGCCAAGGACAAGCACAACTGGCCTTTAAAGGGGATGGGAGATGAGACTCTGATTGGTTTACTGCACGTTACTTGTAGACCATGTGTTTTTCCCGTCGCTAAACTAGCAAAAGTGGATTCGGACACTAAGTGCAGCTGCGCCGTGCGCTTTAGACCCTGTGCTTAGATCATTAAAATACGGCCCTTACTCTCTGAATTTCCTTCCTTGTGATCCGAACACATCTAGATCGGACGCGATCTGTTGCGTCATGTTACGAATCAGTTTCTCTTTCAGGTCAGAAGCGGCGCGAATGCTTGTGTGTCAGAAATAGAGCGGAGCGTCAGTTTACTGTCAGGGGTTTGTCGTGTCAATCCGTGCCAGAATCGCAGATTATAATGGGTTCTGTCGTCCAGAGTTCGGTGTAAACACGGGGGAAATGAGCAAGAGCTCCAGATCGCACCAGTCAAACACTGCTTGTTTGTTTGCTTTACTTTGCTACGGATTAATTTTTGAACAAGACAGTGTTATGATCTTCTCGGAGAGACTGAGAGTAAAGGCTGATGCAGCTCTGAGTGACTAGAGCGGATCAACAGTAATGTCATAATGGACACCTGCTTTCACCACTATTGCATTGTGTTCCAGACCGTTTGATATAAACTCAGTATTTACACACATGTTGTTTTCAGAGTACGCCACAGCAGCGTCTGTCTGTTATTTTAATAAGAGAAACTGTCAGCCAATCACAGCAGTGAATCTTAAATGAGCCCCGCCTATAAAACAGAGCGTTCTGCAGAGGCTCAAAATCAGGAGAGAAAACAGCCGATTACTGCTCAGTTATGTGTTGACGTAAAACCACACTGACATTATAAGTGAATCTCAGAGAACATTATTAAATAAAAAATGCAGTTCATGACCCCTTTAAATCTGCTCATTATATGAAGTGATTGTGTCTGTTAAGAAGACTTATTAAATCATCCCATTTTACTTTAATGAAGTCTTTATGAACTTATTTGAAGCGGTGAATGGACTTTCAAAGGAGAGAACAGAAATCTCAGGATTCATTCAAAGCATCTTCATTTGTGTTTGCAAGACGAACGAAAGTCTTAATGAGTTTGTAACGATGTGAGAATCTTCATGACCTGTTGATGATCAGGGCCTGCTCCTCGATCAGGTTTCCGTCTCCGATCACGATGGGTCCGGCCTCTGCGATGATCCGCGCCTTCGGGTGAACCACGGTCCTCGCTCCTGAAACCAGACCAGAACCGTTCTTTCAGACAGCAGATCATGATTATTAGTTCTTCAGTCACAGCAGCTTGTGTCTAATCGTTTAGATCAAACGATTTCTACATAAACATATTAACACAAATGTTCATAATTTCATTGTCCTGCACTAGCAGATCCGGTGATGTCATGTCCCCGTTACTATAGCAACACTGGACCGGCCAATCAGAGGACAGGAACACAACTGTCTGTTTTTATAATCCATAATAAAAGATATGTGTTTCATTACTCTATAAACAAAAAAAGCATTATTTCCCGAGACGGAAAGCTTGAAGTGCTTTATTTTGAGTGAAATGAAGGGATGTACCGATGGTCACGTCTCCTCTGATGTCGCTCTCCACACACACGACAGCCCCCGCCACGATCTTCACACTGAAACACACACAGCATCAGCTCCACGGAGAAAACACGTCTTCACACTGAAACACACACAACATCAGCTCCACGGAGAAAACACGTCTTCACACTGAAACACACACAACATCATCGAATATCTCTGATCATGTACAGACTGCTGGAGAAAGTGTTGCAGCACAGAGACGGTGTTCTGACGATTTGTGCTACCTATTAGATTTTGCTTCCAGCATGATATTAATAAGGTGTGAGGCTTTATTAACATGTACACCTACACCAACCCTAAACCTACCCTTACAGTCGGATAAATACAGTGTTGGTAGCATAATCTGATAGGTAGCATTACATGTGATCATCACGCCAGAGGCTTCGCTCTTTGTAATTAATGTGAGAAAGAATTAACTGTGTGATTACACTCAGCACATAATCATGTGATCACCTGAAGGGCCCTCAGTAGGGAGCATCTGACTAACTCACTTACAATCAAGAGACAAACACACTTTTACTCTCGATCATGAATAAACAGTGATGATAAATCTGAAATGACTTTGAGCAGTTTGGCACCAACATCCCGATTATAAACATATAATCATAAATGTAAATGAAACTGCTGCTGGTCTTTTCCTCTTAGATCATTAATAATGCATGTTAATAGAAATGCAGGTATCATTTATTAATATCAATTTCAATATGACGTTTGTCCGGGTGTGTCCGATTTAATATGGATTTGTTTTGATTTTTAATGACATACAAAAGTCTGTACCACATTATAGGCATAGTTGCAGCTGCATTCGCGAGATGTGTCCATAAAAACATGACAAACTGCTGTATATAAAACATTTTTACCTTTTCTGCCCGGTTTGTTTTGCATTCGGATCCGCCATCTTCACGCGCTCGAAGACGTCACTGCTCGACTGAGCCGCCTGTGAGCGATCGATGATGCGCCGCTCCCTGAGCACTGAGCGATCGATGATGCGCCGCTCCCTGAGCACTGAGCGATCGATGATGTCTGTTCAGCGCCGCTTCTTCAGATGATCCGCTGTAGAGTCAGATCTAACACACACCCACACACACACACACACACTCACTCACTCACACACACACACACACACACACACACACTCACTCACTCAC